TCCGATACGAGTAATTACAAGTAAATACTCGATACTTTCTTCAAGTGTTTATGTAGGTATCGAGTACGCGGTTAAAGAATTTATTACTTGCTTTTCCAAAAATGCATGTGTTGTGGTTTTGGCAATAAAGGAACTGTCAATTACTGCTTGTAAAACATTAAAATTTTGCAAGGCTTCAATTTCGGTAGATTTTGGCCGAAAATACTCGAACAAACTTGTGGCTACTTTTTCGGGTAGTTTTGGTCGGAGAGTATTCGAACTGAATCTGTTTTTCTTCACATGACATAATTACTTATGTAGCATCGCCGCGGCGACAGAAAACTCAAAGCTCTTATTAAACCTATCAAACTTTTATATACATTTGTATAAATACGTATATAAAAAAACACATGTTCATAGCCTTGGTTTTATATTAGTTTTACGGAACTTTACAATAAGTTCGGTATGAGTAAGTATCGAGTACTTCTCTCCGATACATTTGTAGCATCAATACTTTTCTTCAATATTTGTAAAGAGTACAGTAGCTTGTTTCTGTAACAATTCTCTACCAAGGCGAATTGAGATATAAATTCGCCGCCCTGTTTTCTACTGCTAATAAGTAGTAGAGAATGACGTACATTCTCTACCAGTACAGAAAAAATCGGTAGAGAAGAGTTACAGAATACGAGCTACAGGGAACCAGTATATGGCGGTATGTGAACAACACTGCTTTCGACAGACAAAAGTCTTTCGTAAGACAATTGTCAATTCTGGAAACTATCTTCAAAGCTCTTTTCTGTCTTTCTTAAGACTAATTGTAAGATCTGTTAACGTTATGCTGTTCGCCTTTTAGCAATAAGTTTTTTAAAAATTAAATTATATAAGGAATAATAATAACTAATAAACCAAAGGACATTAAATAAAAAAAGTAAAAAAATAAAATGAAAACAAAGCAAAAATAAATGAAACTATTTTTAAAAATTAGATGACATTAAAAAAAATTATTTTTTCTTTCTAAAACAATAAAATATAAAAATTTATTTAGAAAAAAGTTATATTAAAAAACAAAAATTAACAAATCAAATATTTTTATTTTTGAAAGAAAATCTTAAACTTAAAAGATCATTAAATCAAACAAGTAAAGCAAGGATCACACGATTTGCACATTTGTACACAAAATACCAAATTTAGATTTGTCTACATTTGCGCATTTGGATAGCGATGTACAAATGATTTGTTTTGCAATCAGACGATTTGGCTGCCAAAGATCCAAATGATTTGGCACAACTTTGCGCACAGCAGTAAAGTGACAAATATTGTCCACATTCATTCACACGATTTAACCATTTGGTCATAAATACTTAAACAGCTGATCCGGTGTCAACCATACTTTTGCATTTATGATTTCGTGAGATTTGAAGTGAAATAAACAAAAATAATATATACGCATAGGTACTCAGAATTTTGAATGCACCCTCAAAATCTGGGCTGAAGGTAAAAAACTTTATTTCTGTACACTTATATACATATGCCATTTAAGAGAAAACATTTCGTTGTTTACAACCATTTATAAATGGTTAATTTGTCTTGAGAAATGGTAGAGCAATATTACAGAATATTCGAAAAGTTTTAATTTTTTTATTTTAAATGACGTCCGGCTATTTTGTTCACTAGTATATAAATATATATGTATGTATATGCAAACCCTATCAAACCATCAATAAAATTTATCCCATGATGTGGCATCTCACTTAAATTTTAGTACTAGAAAAAGTGCAGAACATATTGGTCAAAGTCGAATGTCTCAGCCAAACCCTAATTGATTTTCAAAATTTATAACTGATTAAAAACAAAACTGCTTACGGCTTCTTTCTTATATATGTACATTAAAGTGGCCCTTATTTTTAAAAATCGGAAATTTGCGGGTGCTAAAGTAATTCCACACCAAGGGGTCGAAGTTAAGATAACGACAGTATCACTTTGCGTCAGTGCTGCCTTTGGCTAGCCACCTTATTAGCGGTAAACCAGTACTCCATGAACTTACAGGATTTTACACGAACTTGCAGGAAGTTTCAGGAAAAATGTTCCCGTACTCCAAGATCCTTCAAAATCCTGTAAATGAGAGCGACTTTTGGAGAGTTGTGTAGAGAATGAAGTTGCAAGATTTTACCCGAACTTTTTCTTCTGGTAAAATCATGAAGTGTTAAGCAATCACTGGTTGACGTTCTTACAGGAAAAATTGTTTTTTTGTTCCCGTACTTTTTGTTGTTACTCACTTTTTACTCTCACTTCAGAGAGTAATTTTGCTGTTTGACAGTTTTACAGGATTTTTCACGAAAAGTATTGGATCAGAGCTATTGTATAAAACATAGCATGATGCAAAACAAAATTATTTCTGTTCACCCAATCATTCATAAATAAATGGACAAGTAATTTTTATGTCAAAATCAAACCGACTTCAATTCGCATATACAAATTTAAGATTATCGTTAATTTCTTCATGATCCAATCATCGGGTTTTAACCAAATTAGTATGGGACACCTTTCCTTTAAAAAAAGGATTATAGAAATCGGTTAACGTGATCCAAAGTTATGCGGTAAAATACGTAAAAAAAAATTCCGGCGAATTGATAATTGATAGCCTAAGCCTTTTTGTGAAGTCAGTTATAAAATAAGTTTGATTTTGTTCCTTTAGAATATGTATGTATATTTAGACTTTTTACATGTACGAGTAAGTAGATAATAACGCACAGAACCACGATACATGGTTCATTATTCCAACAAGTTTGTGATATGGGTTAATCTGGGCCAACTGAATCTATATTAAATGATAAATATTTTCTCCTTACATGTAACAGTTTCAGGGGGTAGCATCTCAAAAAACTAAAAAACAAACATTTTAAATCTACCTTTCATTTCATTTCATTTTAAGCAAGCAAACGTTTTGTACATTTATCAGTTTTGAATGACTATTTTTCATCAAATTTCAAGGATCGAACATGTTGAGAGAAGAGGATTTATAGGCCTTTAAAATGCTGTATAATAATCTATTGTCATTCTTGGGTTGTCGGGATTTTCATTGAGCAAATAAAAAAATTTATATTTTCTTATTTTTTTATTTTTTGACGATTCCTTTCTTCACATACATATATCCGTATTTTTCACCGGGTAAACAGAAATAAAGTTACGAGCAAGTATACCTGTGCGTCACCTTTTGAAAAACGCGGTTTTTGACCTTAAGCCCAGATTTTGAGGGTGTATTTAAAATTCTGAGTATGCGGATTTTACTGCTTGAATAGACCTACAACAAGTGTGAACCTCGAAAAAACTATATAATTTTTTTTAAACACAGTGTAATTTAGATCGTCTTTAATAATCTGTATATCGTCATTTAAAGTACAAAACCGCGTATCAACAAAATGCAAAGCCGCCTATGTGAGGTTGCATAAATTATTATCTAGATAGTAATAACCATTGTGGAAGAATACAAGTGAGATATCTTAGGGTTGACAGGGTGTTCAATATGGCGATGACAGTGTGAACAATATGGCAGCCAATATGGCATACAACACCGAATGGCCCAAAGTAGCAAAACTACGACCCGAATGAAACACTTCGTGAAAATCCAGGGTATTTTGTTGGAAAATATAAAAGCCAGGATTTTGTGCAGCGCCGAATTTTAACAAAAGAGGGTTTTGTGTTCTCAAAATGAACAGAAAAGGGTTGCTGTGCTGTTTCGTTTTAAGCTTATTTTAATCTTAAGGTATCTAATTACATAAATATTAAAAGGAGACAAAAATTAAAGCAAAAATTTAAAATATATGTACATATGTGAAAATTCTAAATAAAATATATATTTTCACGAGAGACAAATTAAATAAAATGGGGTAACTTTAGGGGAAATATACTTATCAGATTGGGTCAGATAGCGCTTTTACGTTATAAATAAAAATAATTCCTACTTAAATTTTATATAATTTTGGTGACGTATTTCTAAGCTGACCCTGAGATCTGTGAAATAATACATATTTATGTGCATATATTGTGTTGATTATGCTCTAAATCGCTAAATAATTCTTGCAGCAATCAGCACCATTGGAAAGTGAAGTGACAATAGGCTGGTTTTCTTTATACAGCCCGTTTTAAATTCGAATTATTGTTATAATAAATTACAATTATTGTTTGTTTCCGCTTCGGTCAACCGCACAAATTATTTATTAAAAAAATGTCGTTTAAAAATAGCAGATTTTGTTTACTTTTGAATAAGACTTTGTCGAGTGCGCTATAAAGACAGGGGGATAAATGCTGTAAAGAAATATATGTTGAGTCCAATCGGTTTTTTGCTAATCCGGTTTTTGTGTAGGTATAAACAAGGTATATTAAAAAAATACCTCTCCATGAAAAAATATCGTTATTTTCGTATTTAAAATTAATCGGAATTTTATGGGGGGTTATAAAAACTCGTTTTAATCGAAACTTTGTTTTTTTCGGCTATATTTGTTATTATTTATTGGCCCAGATGCAAATATTGAATGAACTAACATATTTTAAATATTTACGGAACTACCATTTGTATGCAACCGTGCCTATCCTGTATTCAAGTAGATGTAATTCGAAAAATTTAAACGGATTTCTTCAAATCAACCTGAGCTGCGGACATATTGCGAATTCATTTTAAAACATTAACCACTACATTATATTAGTATTAAATACTTTCAATTAAGAAACAATTCTTATTAGAAAATAAATATGAATCGTTTTATTTTAAATATTCCAATGTATATTTTTTGTTAATGCAGATAGTGCGGATTTAACCTATTTTATAACCGTTACATGGGGAATATAAATTTAAGGCAGATTGTTATTAACAATTTGTACACAATTTACGATTGCAATCAATTTCTTTCAAAACTATAATCTAAATGATTGCAAGTTGTATTTTTTACGATCAAAACAGATTCCAATATTAGGTATATTATGCAAATGCAATCCAATTTGATTTGAGTTATTCAGTTTTACGGCCATATTATTGACACTCCGAATTTGCCGGAATAAGAATATTTACGGAATAGAGGAGAATTAGTTGGAATAAGTGTATTATTGACGCATAGAATAAAACGGAATAAGGTGTAATAAGAAAGTCAGAATTGTTATTCCGGGGAATAACTAAGCGGGCAGAATCGAGCGAATAAGGCAGTTATTCCATGTTATTCGTTCAAAATTCATTATTGACTTACATCTGCTTTAGAAATACATACAGGTAAGAAATGTAAACTGTTTTTAGTTTGTAATTATCCTTTTTTTTTATCCATTTTAGGTGATATAATGGCGCGCCCATCTCGAACCAATGTGCTGATCGGAATTGACCGTGCTCAACGCATTTACGACGAAGACCATAACAATAGACGACCATACATAATGCTAGAACGAAGAAAAATGCACTCGTGGGACGATTTTGACTTTTTTTTCTCGATTCCGTATGACAAAGGCAAGATTTGTACACGTGCTACACTTGATTGTGCCTTACATGCCAGAGGTACATCAAAGGTATCAAAAGCTGTATTGAGTTCATATGTATACTGATTTAATATTTTTTATTTGTCCTTTACAGACAACGCTATATCTCACACGAAGTGCAGCTACTATGCACGTTGCGTTTCTTGGCTGCTGGTAGCATGCAGTCTATCGTTGGTGATATTATAGGAGTTTCCCAACCTACGATTAGCAACTTGTTGCCAAAAGTGTGCAAAGCAGTTCTCGGACTACTGCCTGACATAGTTAGAATGCCGCGGACACAGGAGGAACTAAAAACGGCGGCTGCCCTTTTCTACATGTTTGGAAATTTGCCAAGAGTCATTGGAGCCATTGACTGTACACACATAAAAATTCAGTCACCGGGAGGCCCAAACGCGGAAATATTCCGAAACAGGAAGGGATATTTTTCTTTGAATGTACAAACCGTTGCAGCAGCTAATCTCAAAATCATGAACATTGTTACACGATGGCAGGGTTCGGCACACGACTCGACTATATTTCGGTCGAGTGCACTATGGCAGCAATTCGAAGCGGGCGAATTTCGCCACTACATTTTAGTCGGTGATTCCGGCTATGCCAATTCTCCCTTCCTGGCAACACCATTCGCAGAAAATAGTTCTGAGCTTCGCGCTGGATTACAACACGTACAAGAATATCAGCGGGCAATTATCGCCACCAGGAATTGCGTGGAACGCTCATATGGAGTGCTGAAGCGACGCTTTCCAGCATTGGCCTATGGTTTGCGTGTCAAAATATCGACTGCACAAATGCTTGTTGCGACCGCTGCAGTACTCCACAACATCTGTATTGATGAGAATGAGCAATTACCCAACACACCACCTGGCTTCACGAGCAACGAAATAGAGATCAACAGTGGTGCGACAGAAGATACTCCAAATAGTAACTATGGCAGGAATGTACGCAACGAACTCCTCGATATGTTTCGTCGCCAAGTGAACACACACACCAATCACTTGCCTTGATTAGAAAAGGGAGGATAATTTCATTTAATTCATTTATTTTTTACAATGAATAACATATTTTTGTTTTAAAAACATTAAACAAGAAAAACTAGTTAAATAAAACCTGTACTTATAAAAAAAAAAATAACACACTGTTGCGCGAAACTATACTGAATGTTTTATGTCGTCATAAAAGCTCGAAACTTCAAGCTCCTCCTGGACGATTTTTTCAGATTCTTGTGCATTCATCGGTTTGTGCGTCTTTAAGTATAGGTTGTGACGCTCCTGCGCTTCTTGTTCCCGCTTAGCGAAGTATTGCATTACTTGCTTCTGAGCAGTTTTTTTGTAGCATAACCGCTTCCATATTAGCAGTATGTAACTCGATGGCATGGCGCATGTTTGTTGCGTGGAGTTCGCGTGACTGCGTTAATTCAAGATTTATAAGCTGCTGGCGCATGTCATTTTCGGCATTATTTGGGTCACGGAATCTGCGTTTCCGTGCTTGCCGCTGTTGTGCAACTGTTGCAAAATATTGTCGCGGTTCTACTGCCGATGCTTCCTTGGGCAACGGCGAGCTGGTGGAGACGATTAAAGGACTGGAGAAGTTACAGCTGGGAGTCAATATGGTCGATGACGGCTTCGCTGTAGAAGAAACGAATTACTGAAATTACTCGATCCAATTAATATAATATGTACATGTACGTATGTATGCTCCTACAAACATATGTATATTTGTACCTGTGATATTCACAATTTGGACCTCCTCTAACGTCGTGTTTTGAACACC